GACGTGAAGAAGGGAGCAAGTTGCACGTGGGGAAAAAAACGCGCCTGATTTAAATGTCACATCTGAACGCTCACATCCTTTTAATTATGTTTGAAATTAAACATTGCTCAACATCATGAAAATTAAACCTTATTTTCAATAAGCAATCCTGAAAAATATTTGGGGGTGCTTAACTTTTTTCTAGGTGTATATAATGTCTCCCTGTAGCCACAAAGGTCGCTGTAGTTTGGGTTCCATATCTAAAAAATGTGGATCAATATAGAAAATCTTATTCTTCTATATAAAATTGGTCATTTTTCAGGCTTAACAGCTCCACTATAAAGCTCACTTTAGGTCTCTTTAAGTTTTGGTTCAAACTTCGCTATCATATTTCGTCGTCAAGTTATTAACGTATAAACAGAAAAAAAACAGAAGATTATAGCTTCCAGCTTAAACATCTGATATCGTGATTATATTTATGAATACATAAAAATTAAGTAATTTTCTTAATAGCTTTTAAAGCTTCTCCTCAGCCTTTCTTTTTTCTTTCCAGAGATTTAGGTATTCGTATACAGCGAAATACAAGTATTTTGACATCCAAAACTAGTAAGTTATATTCCTACGATCATTATATAAAAAGGTGTAAATGCCTAATATTCATTTGCTTTTTAAACATTCTTCGAGAACAAAATGTTAGATGTAATAAGCATATTTTTAAACAGTCAGTGCAATTATTTATTATTAAGTTAAATAATATTGTAACAGGAATAAAGCTGAAACTTAGTTGAATGGACGACAACTGCCTGTTCTAGAAAGCATAAGTATAGAAGAAAACGTTTTGAAAGTCTTTCGCCTTTCGTCTTCAGGCTGAAGGTTTTCGACATGTCGTCCTCTACACTTGTGTTTCTACAATAAGCAGTTGCCGTCCATTCAACTAAGTTTCATTGTGAATACTCTGCCTAAACAATCTATGAAAAGAGTAAAGTTGTCCATAAATATCCTCATGTCAAGTGAGTTGATCTTTAAAAATTAAGCTCTGACTAAGAAGACTCAGAACATCTTTGACAGAAACTAAACCAGACACCAATAACTCTAGGTTATGATCTGCTCGTTCTCAAGTCTAGCTCATATTAAACATCCGGTTTACGTGACGTCGACATTCGTGCCTATATATTTCATTACACTCATTAGATATAACCCTTTATTTTCCTGAAGAAGAATAGCGAACTATTCGAGTTTTGGATCTCGTTTGAAAACCATCAATACTTCAGGCGTTACTATCAATTTTGATCCTGATAAAGTCATTTATAATTACAGCTCCATTTCTCTTACCGAGACGTGTACACTAGCCCTGCATAAGATCTTAATTTCTGCTTTCCCCCGAATAAGCTCTCACATGCTGATGGTTTTGATTTTTTTGAACAAGCTCACAGGTCAATCAATACTTTCCTGTCCACAATTCTCCCAATCTTGAGCCCTCAGTCCTAAAACTCCCAGTCCAATCCACATTCTCCAACGATAACTCCTGCAAATCTACATCTCCTCTCCCCCCCCCCCTCCTACGAACTCGCTGCTTTAAAGAACTTGGAAGTAATTCTGACTAAGGTAGTGGTGTTGTCTTCTTAGATAGAAAATATTACATAAATAAGATCAGCTCTAACTTAGGTAGTGGTGTTGTCTTCTTAGATCGAAAATATTACATAAATAATATCAGCTCTAACTTAGGTAGTGGTTTTGTCTTTATAGATAGAAAATTTTACATAAACAAGATCACCTCTAACTTAGGTAGTGGTTTTGTCTTTATAGGTAGAAAATGTTACATAAATAAGATCAGCTCTAACTTAGGTAGTGGTTTTGTTTTTATAGATAAAAAATATTACATAAACAAGATCACCTCTAACTTAGGTAGTGGTTTTGTCTTTATAGGTAGAAAATATTACATAAATCAGATCAGCTCTAACTTAGGTAGTGTTGTTGTCTTTATAGATAGAAAATATTACATAAACAAGATCAGCTCTAACTTACCTGAGTTCACCTAATTTAGACCATTTGACACTGATGTGCTTAACATTACTCTTTTTAACGAGAAAAAAAAAGGTTCAGTACATCTTTAGAAACCTTAAAAAGTTACACACTGTATCCCAAACAACTTTTGTTCAAAGTTACTCCTGTGGCTCCCCATCCAGGTGTATTATATGACCTTCCTGAAGTACACGATTCAGATCTACCCACTAGACCTATACTTTATTCTGTCCGTCCGCGCACATTCCTAACAGCTGGATAAATTTTTATCCCCGTTACTACAACTCATTAAAATCAACAATTTACTGTCAATTAGTCATTTTACTTCGGTGACGATACCATCTCACTTCATGCCCAGGAAAATTACTTTATGACTAGCTTTAACATAACCTAACATTTTACCAACATTATCGTTAATTCAAGTGTCAAAATCTGCCTTTCCTGAAACAAATGACTTGCAGCCAGTAAATGATTTCAATTCTCAACAATTTAGACAACTTTTTGAACTTTCTAAACACTGACATTTTATTCAATAATTGCCTTTTTGATCAGATAGATGGTGTTTCTATGAGGTCACTCTTCGGCCCGAACTTAGTAAGTACCGTTCTCTGTCATTATGAGCAACCTTAAATCACTTTAATTTGATCACTTGTTTACTTACAAGTGCTTTTAACATTTGTTTTTCTTGTATCTCCCTACATATTATAATTAAATTTCTACATCTTCCGCTTCCGAAAATTGGGTATCCCGGGCATTTTCTTGAAACAATCACCCAAGCTTTTATGAATGGGGAACTCAATCCCATTAGCAATACTAAACATATGAGTATGACTGAACCTAAATGTCTCGTCTATTTATACCTTCCTTAGCAATACTAAACGGATGACTGAACCTAAATGCCTCGTCTATTTATACCTTCCTTAGCAATACTAAACTTATGACTGAATCTAAATGTCTCGTCTATTTATAACTTCCTTAGCAATACTAAACGTATGGCTGAACCTAAATGCCTCGTCTATTTATACCTTCCTTAGCAATACTAAACGGATGACTGTACCTAAATGTCCCGTGCACTTATACCTTCCTTCTTAGGTAAACCGAGCTTAACATTTATTAAAGATAAACTCACTAAACTGTTCTCGTGTTTGGATTATATACTCTATTAGAAGACCATTTATTTCAACGTAATCTCCTACTATTTAATATTTAAAGAAAACTTGATTCCTGAAGTATTTATTTTGTACACATCCTTACTTTCGATTTATATAATAACACAAAAAGGTCAACATCAGCCGGTCAATATATATTTCACACCTACACCATCCAGAATTAAAGGATATAACTACCAAGGGATCGAAAGTTTTAGTAATGATGATAATGATAGATGTAAAACTAATTTGATGGTAAAAGACAATGACTAGGACTGTGATCATGGTAAAGAAGACAACGGTAATGGTAATTAACTTGTTTGTATTTTGGATATAGTCATTATGATAATAACAATAATGACTGATGAAAAAGCAGTGTTGAATTTATTGAAGAACCTGCAGATGATTGATTATAAGGAATGTCATAGTGATAATGCTGGTGGGAAGACTTTGATAAATGTTATTATCACGGTAATGCTAGTAATTAGCTAGATGTGGATCAAAAGAACTGATTCGTTAATCTCCTCGTCCAGTCAAACTTCACCATTGTTACCCAGCGAAGAAGAAGTAGAACTACAGTATGTCTCTTGGGGACCTACTGGCAGTCAACTGGTGAGTATGCTCATTTCAGTAACTGTTAAATGTGTTACATAAGCTGTGCGAGTGTTAAAATATGAAAATATAGAATCAAGATAATTATCTGAATTATTTATCTCAAAATGCTATATAGTTGATCTAGTGTTCTTCACTCTAATTAATTTACAATTAGTTTATAATTTTAAAGAAACAAATGAAGTTATGTAGTGGTTGGGCCCGGGCGTGGCTTAGTTATTACTGTGTCAGTCGATGTATCTGTGAGTTTAAGGTTCGCGTACCATTGTTGCAAAATACTTCTTCGTACTTTGGGACCAGAAGAATGGTTGTCAAATCCCACTATTCGGTAAAACAAGAGTAGTCTAAGAGTTGGCAGTGGGTACTGTTGACTACCTGCTTTCTCTCTGGTCTATCAGTTCAAAATTATGGACAGCTAGTGCAGAGAGCCCTTATGTAGCTTACGCAAATATTCCAAACACATGAACGTTATATAGTTAGAAAATGCCATTAAAATACAAAGACAATATCAAAAATTAAATACACAGCATGGTCACAAGTAAATAGACACAATCTTTTCAGAAAAAAAGGAGATTTTTCAGTCATATTCACATGAATTGATATATTTATAATTTAATTAATATCTAGTAGATCTTCCTTTCGCTTCGTGGAGTTCGTTGATCCTTTGGGGCATCGTGAGAATCATCTCGTCAGTTATAGATTGTGGGATTTTCGCCCACTCTTGCGTCAAAACTTGGAGTAGATCGCTATTCGAAGTTGTTTTTCTTTTTTTCTTTTTGTTTCTTGACTTGCCGGTCGAGTATGGCCCAGAGGTTTTCGATGGGGTTCATGTCAGGAGATTGGCTCGGCCAGGGCAACTTCTGGATACCATTTTCTTCCTGCCACTTTTGGGTGTTTCTAGCAGTGTGACACGGTGCTCCATCTTCCTGGAACAACATTGTGTTCCTGTCCACGAAACCCGAGGAATAAAGTGGTAAGAGTCCTTCCTCCAATATTTCGACGTATTTCGCAAAATTTATGTTGCCAACGCACTCCACTAAGCTCGATTTCCTACCAACCCAAACAGCTCCCCAAACCATCACGCTGAAACCACCATGCTTCACAGTTGGCTGCAATCTGTTGTGCCAAAACTCTTGGTGAGGCATTCTCCAGACCCATATCCTTCCACTGTCCGAAAATTGAGCGAATCTTGATTCGTCTGAGAACAATACGGTCTTCCAAAAGTCCAGAGGCTTGGTCATCATATCACTTGCTCACTTCTTTCGCCTGACTATGTTGGCAGATCTTAATAAGGACTTCCGTCTAGCTGCTCTGCAACGATAACCCAATCCATGGAGAATCCGTTGAACAGATTTCGGGCTCATCCCACCAACTTTGGCCACTTCTGCAGTCGTTAATCTGGGATCCATTTCGATGCTCCTCTTGACAGCCCTTTTTGTCCTCTCCGATGGACCCGGACGCTGCTCAGTTGTTTCCTTGCCGTGTTTCCTGAACTGTACGATGATTCTGTTAACTGTCGAAAGCGGGATTCCCAAATTCTGCGAAATTTGCCGCTGACTTATTCCACCATCTGCTTGACCAACTATCCTTCCTCTAACAAAATCTGACAATTTGAGAAAACCTTGAGTTCTAGGCATGTTGTAGCACAAGATAATTAGTGTGCGGACCATTTTCATTTATATAGTGGTCTGTGAACACAAATTAGTTAGCATAAATCAGTTAAATGACGAAAAATTAGGCGTCTATTTACTTGTGACCACTCAGTGTACACCACAAGTGACTGGCTTCTCATATATTGTTTGTTTTGAATTTCGCGTAAAGCTACACGAAGGCTATCTGCGCTAGCCGTCCCTAATTTAGTAGTGTAAGACCAGAGGGAAGGCAGCTAGTCATCATCACCCACCGCCATCTCTTAGGCTACTCTTTTACCAACGAATAGGGGGATTGGTCGTTACTTTATAACGCCCCCACGGCTGAAAGGGCGATTCAAACCCTCGATCCTCA